TTACACGCAGTGATGGAAATTATTTTTGAAATCTCAAATTTTTTAATTAATATTTAATATCCTTCAGTATGATTAGTTTTCTTACAACGTATTTATCGAATGGAATAAATTTTTCATATATAACTTTTGTATCATAACAATATAAGCATCAACAATATTTTTTTCTTTTCAAATTTATAGTTTTCCAATGAACATTTTAGTTTTCAAGTAGTATAAAATTTAATGAAAGTAAATCTATAAATTTTATCGTTTATTTGTACAATATTATACAGCTGCCATCTAGTAATGTAATGTAAAAATATTTAATATTATATTTAAGATAATTATTAATACTGATATTAAATATTAATAATATATTTATTGAATAAATACATTACTTTGTCAGTGCATACGATCAAGTTTAATGATATAATTGCAATGCCAGTTTTAAAGAACCAACCGACACAACAGGAAATTGAGATCAATTCAAAGCATTTTACATGCGCACAGTTTAATCAGTCCAAAGGTCTATAGTTAATGAAGATAAAGATGTTCTCAATGTTTCGTCTAGTAATATTTATTGATCAATGAGTATATTTTTTAAAAAGGGCTGGTCGGACATCTAAGAACATTGCTCTTTATATATTGAAATATTGGCTTTGCTAACCTGAGTTGAGAAGATGAGTTAAAAAAAAAAAGATGAGGGTTAGAGAGAGACAGAGAGAGAGAGAGAGAGAGACAGAGAGAGGGGGGTGGGAGAAATAGAGAGAGAACGCAAGCATAAAGTGAAATATCGGGACCTCCGAGTTCCAGCATCAAAGTGCAAAGAATTTTTACGCCACGATAAGCAATTATTGAATCTTACATTTGAATCTACCGCGGTACCATATGAAGTGAGACAGATTGACTGTCTTCTTGCATTTTGTCTTGCTTCTCTATTGATACGTATGAGATTCAAGAAAATCTTGCAGACCGTCATACTTTCTTCTTAACTTTCTGCTGACATGTGTTATATTTTTTCGAATTTACGAATAGTGTATCTAGGACTTATGACGTAAGCCGTGTGACGGATTTTTCAGAGAGACATAAATAAATCGATTTTTATTCATAGAAATTATTTTTGCAATGATTAAAAACTGGCACAAAAGTACTGACGCGTAATCGGATTGCATAATTAATAATGAAGATTTTGATATTTGTATATTCGCTGTTATTGAAAAATTAACTTTTATATTCATTGCAATGGTATTCATAGTTTTATTAATGTTGAATTTATTGAAGTTTAATTAACGATGATTATTTCAATTATTTAAATCATTTGAAATCATTTTCAAATATCTATTTCAGTAGGGAATACGTAAAACTGCAAATCATTATTGCTCGTATTAATATAAGCAAATTCATTGGGCGAAGAAAGAAAGATGTCGTAATCATCATCTTTTTAAAGTTTCTTTCATTTACTTTTATCTTTTATTTAGTCCATTAAATGATATTTTATGTTCAAGTTTAAGAACTAACTTTTCCATCCAGTAATGTACATCTTTTAATTGACTTTATAATCTTTACTCCGAAATTCTTACATCAGCTTATTATATTTTGTTTTTATTTTCCCTACTTTCTTCATTTAGGCTTTAAAAAAATATTTTTCTTTGTAATTTGAAAACTTAAAGGACGTTGAATTACTTGTACTTTATACTTTGATTTTCTATTATGTAATTTCACATAATTATCATTAGAACATTATTATTCCAGAAACTTTAAAGTTTATCTCATTGTAAGTTTAAATAGCTATAAAGATTATTAATTTTTTCAGAATTTAAAATTGAATTGTTAATATAATCTACTTATATGTATTATAATTCTTTGTCAATTTATGTAATTATGATTGTAATATTTGAAGATTAATTCTTATTTGTTAATTTTCTCGAAAACAACAATTTATTAGAAGAATATATTACAATTTATTTATTCATATTTTCCGGTTAAATGTAAAGTTTTAGATGAATTTCGTGTTTCCTGTGAAGAATTACATATTCAGTTAATGAGTTACTTTCAACTAATATTAATTATATTCAAGCATCCAGTTAGATTCTAAATTACGATTTCCTTACATAAATAATATAGACATACATATAAATATAGAAATATGTATTTATATAAATAGAAACTATTCAATATGGATCGTCTGCATTCTCGTCTTAGAATTCAATTTATTATTTTTAAAACGTTCAACTTTTCTCCGACATATATATATATTTCGTCATATATTTAAAAAGTTTTTTTAATATTCGCTTTGTTTCGGATTTATTAAGAAAATTCGTTCAAAACCAGTTATTCGTTTAAAACAACAATAATTTTTAATAATCTATACGTATTACACTTTAACTTTAATTAGATTGCATTAATTTCATGTTAAATAATATTTTCGTATTTAAGAATGGAATAATAATTTCAAAATTATTGTAATTGAATTGTATGAGAAAAATCAATAAAATTTAATTAACTATTTTGAAAAACATGCTTCTTTAATAGGATTTATATTCCGCATATTTTATTATTCGTATTGTCATAATTCATCGCAGGAATATGCTAAAATATCTTTTTTATTCAGAATAACTTTTACTGAATAATATATTTAATAGGACTTTATAATAGAGATGAAGGATATTGTAGCCGTGTAACTGTTAAAATAGCGTTTAAACTATTTGTTAATGATTGAAGTCCAATTAAATTTTTCCATTTATGGCATGTAACGACTTTATTTCAATTGATACAAATGAATCAATGAGTTTGTTATATTAATGCTACGTCTACTCACGTGATATAATTAAGCTGTCAACATTTGTTTAAAAATTTTATTTTTGAAAATCTCGTAAATATAGGTTTTTTGTTTTTGCAAAACTATTATACTTTGAATTTAAATTTCATTTAAATAAAATCGTAACACATTAATCTTCAGTGGCTTTGAAAGTTAACATTAGCTACACAAATGTATATAATCATATATTTTTGTTTTAATACAATTTCATCGGCGAAATAATTTCTTATTTTTATTTTCTACTAAAATTTTGTTTATTTAATTTGTGCAATTATTATAGCTCAATTTTTATTACACTTGCTTCAAGAAAATCTTATTAAAACAATCATATTAATAGTATTTGCATATATATATATATATATATATCTACATATCAGTATTTTAAATTTACAGTATTTTTTTTATTTTTTATGTTTTTTTTTCGTATCTTTTACACTTTTTATTGAACCATCATTTTTAAAAACTTTTTATTGAAAAACATTATAATTTTTATAATCTTTTTACTAATTTTTTTTTTACACTATATGAATTTCCAATGCTTTTAACTCGTCACTTTTTATTATTCTTGAAACTTTCGAATATTTCAAATATGGTAAGGATTTTAATTAGATATTTTATTTCTTGCTCTTTTTAAAGTAAAAGCATTTTTATAGCTAATAATAAACAATAATGTAAATCATACTTTATAAATTCTAAAGACTTCTATAATTTTTACACTTTATTGGTCAAATGGCGAAAGTTGAAATGTTTGAATAATTAAAGGTAATTTTCATAATTATATGGAGAAAAATATCTTGAGACATATGGATGACTGCGTATTGGCATTTATATTTTTGAGAAAGGGTCCTTGTATAATAAAATTCTAAGAAGAAAATGGATAGCGATCGTTATATGAAAAATAAAGCTATACAACATTTTAATTAGCGAATATTTTGTTCGAGTAAATATTCAATTCAATAATTCATTCTTATTGTCGCTACACAGTTGTTTTAAGCAATCAAAAAAAAAAATTCAAATTCCGCACTGAATTGTCGTCATTTTTTCAACAATAAGAACTTGTGAATAAAATTTTACAGTAGTTATGCTGGTCAAAAATAGCTGGACGCCTACCATTCATAAGCTTAATCTTTCTAATCATGGACATCCGCTAATTCTGACATGTGAGTATAGCAATCTATCCCTCGAACACAATCATTTCATTTTTAAAATGGCTCGATCGTTAACTCGTTTATCTGTTTATTAAATTTTTGTCAGCATTGTTAATCTACTCGGATTATAAACATTGCATACTTACTTAGCGCTCCACAGTTATACATTCATCGATTGCGCTCCACAGATATACATTCATCTATTTATCTTATTTATATATATATATATATATATATATATATATATATATATAATTAAAAGATTCAGATTGCATAATTTTTCAAGTATAATCGATATTTGTTTCTACATGACTAAAGTTTACCTAGATAACCTCATCATAATCTTACACAAACTTCTTCACTTACCTCCTTATTTAATTATATATTTTACTTACCTTGGATATTTGAAGATCTCGCAGTATATGGATTTAAAGTGGTATCGACATTAAGTTGTCAAATAAATAAAATACTCTTAAAAATTAAATTAATTGATAGGATTAATTAATTTACATTATTCAATTAAGTAATAGGAGTGCTGCTGATTTTGTTATAATGTATAGTTTACGTATGGATATTGTTCAATAAAAATTCGTGAATTTTTTACAGTTAAAATTGTATTTATTAACGTTTTAAAAATCTATCATGAAAATTTCGAAGAAATGCTATATAATTCGATAATTGCTCGTTACCACTGTCACGCCGATAATCCACAAATAATATAATCTACGATAATTGATTAAGCCAGGATTATCAATCCCAACACTTGTATCAAATAATAATGAGAGCAGTGGAAATTAATAGTCTAATGAAAAACAATTTTTGTCCAAAGAGCTCTTACGTAAGCTTTGCAGACTTCCATATCTTACGTAGAAAACTTCATTAGACGAATTCTGGTAAAGGTAGGATCATTAAATATTCACATATACTTGGATCTCAATCAAATCGATCCGATGAACCTCGTCTGTATCTCGAAGGAAAATTGAGAATTTGCAAATGCCTTCGTCGCTTAAATTAGTCTCCTCCTCTCTCACTCTTCTCCCCCCCCCCACCATTATAAAGGTGTTAAGTGAGTTTTGTCCAGGGCAGGAGACGCCAACAACTCTGACGCACTCAAGGCAGTCTGGCTACGAGCCAAGGTAGCTTACCGGTACGCTTGAAAGACCAATAGTCGTAAAGGAGTTTCCCAAGGATGAGAAAAATCAACGAGCCAAGGAAAATATTGAGAATATCCAGTGGATAAATCCAGTAGTTGTCGTCCGGGGGTACGCAAATTTCCGTTCTCGATAATTCGCGAATCTAGAGGTGATGAAGTACAGTCAATTGATAGACATTAATACGCTGGTTGTTCGAACGAAGCTCTTATCGATGGTAATTAAAGTAAATATCTTTTATAATTTCCTTACTTAAAAGTCTGAAAGTACGTGTAACGTTATTTCAATTCGAGATTGCAATGTTACCACGATTATTCGGCGATATCGAGGACGATAATTGAAAATTGAGAATGCAATCCGTGCACCGCTGTATCATTCGTTGAGCAAAATGCCAAAGCTAATATTGATAAGGAATTTTTTTTTTGCAAAAAATATCTCAATTCGATGTGACATTACCGCGAAAATGTCAAAAAAAAAAAGAAAAAAAAAGAAAAAAAAATCAGTAAATATCTGGGAGTCACAATAACCTGTTTGTCAGCAAATTCGTTGTTTCCCGTTGGCGAGCACCTGACATCGCTTATATCCTTGACCAAATTTCCATATTTTATTAACAATTCCTGAAATCCCGGCGTAAACTGGCAGTCGCATCTCCATGGATTGTTACCCAAATACAGACTTACCGCATTTTCACTGTGCGGCAAAACATTCTCCAAAGCGTACGTTGGAAACTTAAATAAGGCAAAAGATAAAACAATTATAATTATGTATAACAATTGTCACATCAAAGATAGCGGAATTAAATAGTATAATTAATTATGCTATGATTAATTTTTATCGATGGAGCGAAAATAATATATCTTTATGAAAACGGAGATAAATGTGCGATGATAAGGTTGAGAATAAGCGAGAGGAACAAGGTGCGAGGGTACATTTTGACTAAAATGATAGAAAAAGTATCGTGAGATAATAGTATTATAATTTCGTGCATAGATCGAACGAAGCAAATACACGGCCTTCTTCATCAGTTTTTAAAATCTCATATCAATTAAGAAAAATTAAAGCTTCCGCGAAGGAAATAAACGTTTATCACCAAATCTTAAATAACATAGATTGCGAGAAGATTATTAAAATGCTGGATGCTAAAAATTATAAAAAAATAATTACAAATAATTTTTTATGCTTTCGTGGAAAAGGCTGCCGCCTATTAATGAGAGCCGCTATTCGCCATACAAATATACTTCTTACATTAAGATGCATTAAAAACAATAAGCAACATGAAGTTTAACAAAATACTTTTTACACACGTCGGTTAATTTATTACCGCGCAGACTAAGAAGCCGAAACTGCTCGAGCCAATATGTGCCGTCCAGCAAATTTACGCTCTCGACGTTATTGTTGTCCAGGTAGAGATCAAGAACACGCTTGTACTGAGAATTGAACTTGAGAGGGGCCAAGTCACTGATCTGTGAAATAGAATTTCACTTTATGTCGCTGCCCAATGTATGGAGATAAATTTGACGTCAACATCCATATCCGCGAGTGATATAGCAATTCACACTTAATCATTAATAATTACACGTTTTTAATATTTTATGCTTTTTATGCTGGCACAATAAGTCCATTAGTATTAAGTTTATTGTCATTTCTCAGTCAATTTTTTCATGTTAATCGATAAAATTGTTTATACGAGTTGAAGTTTAAAAAAAAAAAATTTAATTTAATGGCAAACAATGTGCTTCTTGTCAACTTGGAATACCAATATAGTATTATCGTGCCCATATACTCGTCCAGCGTCTTCAATTCATATATCCTTATACCAATACTTACGGTAATAGCTTAATATCAATCTTGTTTCGTGATAGATTGTTATCTAACCTCATGATAAACATGTATTCGGCAATGACGATAAAAGCCGATTAAGGGGCTTCTGGAGGGCTAATACGCTGGATATTGGCACTCGTTGGCAAGTAAAGCGCGTGAAAATAAACGCGTCAAGTCAAGTCAACGAACGAATCAATTGTAAAATTAAACCAGTCAGCTACGTCACTCACTTAGATCATATAATCGATCTTAAAATATAAATCGAGCTGCAAGAGCTCCGATCCTTATTCCATAAATCTCGTTTGATCGTTCGACCCGATGATACTGCTTTATTAAAGACGCGCGCCGTTCCTACGCCCAACGGCTCACTCTCCGACATAAATTTATCCGCTAAATTTATTTTACTCATCATCCGGTCCTCTCGTTCCCCAAATTGGTCGATCATCGCGTCACTTACGCACTTATCGGCGCAGCGAAGGTGACGCGCTTAGACGTACAGCATAAGTACCTCGTTGCCCTCGAGATGCAGTGTGGTGGTGTCCGTGGGCAGGGAGCTCGGCATATTGGTAAGACCGCGATGGCTGCAGTTGACGGATGCGAAAGCCATAAACTGCCGATGACGAGTCTGTAGTCCTGGAGCCGCTCTGTTAACGACGTAGACGAGCTCGCAGTCGCAGACGCTCAGTTGCCGGCACTCCCGACGCAGCCGCTAGTGTGGCATAAGTCGCGCGTTACTACCTCGGAGATTCTCGGGACGTGTGCTAGGAGAAGAGGGTCGCTTGGAAGAAAAACTCTGGGAAAAAAAAAGGCGGCGAGACTCGATTGGGACGAACGTTCGGGGAATTGGACTTGCGGCGGGAGGGGATGCGCGAGAAATATCTCGTTGCTCGCCCTTGATTAATGGATGCCTACGTATGTAATACGTTCTTTTGGAATATTTTACTTTTGGCGGGGTAAGGTGTCGGGCATGGATGAAATGTGACTCGTTAAATGGAAGAAAAGGAGAAGAGGAAATAACCCTGGTATATTTAACTGCCGAATCGATAAACGATTGTACGTCATTCGCGTAAGCTGCGTCCTAGGCAGTTTATCCGAATGGGTTTTGCATTTTGTACGTAAAGAATTAAAGCTTCGTTTAAGATATCTTTAAGCTCGCTTGGTTCGGCATTTTACCCGCCTTTAAAGCCGATTTGAGTAATAATTATCGAATAAATGTTCAATCTTAAATAAAGAGCCGTTATTCCAATGATGTATATTATTATTATTATTTTTTTTTTTTCAATTTCGACAGCTCGTATATAGCGTGTAGTTGAAAATACAAAAGATAATTAAAATCTCGAGCTTTGAGAATCTTAAAATTTTATCTACGGGCTACGTTGCTGTTAAATTAAATGTTTTTAAACTATCTCATAAGAGTCTGGTGGAAGTGACCCTACAAAATGCCTGTTAATGTTTGGCATTTCATGAAGACAAACTTAAATTAAAGCTTTAAGCTCTGATATTGTAAATCCTTCCTACATTTAAGTATCCCCGTCGTTCGATAAACATTGAAAATTGTAACATAAAATATTTTACGCGCTTTCCTATAGTAATTAATGGGATGCGTGATTGGTCTGCTCCATCGAAGCAGTGCACAGCATAAACGAAGGATCCTGTGTTTTTAGAGCAACGCCGAATTGACTTGATTTTATAAAAAGAAAACACCTTTTTTCTCCAAAAAACGCCAAATTTGCTTTTTTTTTAAAAAAAAAAACCCCTTTTAAAAAAAAAAAAAAAAAAAAAAAAAAAAAAAAAAGAATAAGTAAATAAATAAATAAAATTTTATTTATTATAGCTCATAGAATAGGAATTAAATATATAATATTTCCAAATTAATTGAAATTTAACGCATTCTATTAAAGTATTATTTACGTACAAACTGTCGCAAGACCTCTTCGTTATATATGAATCGTTATTTATTCGAAAATACCCAATATCCGATATTGTATATATCAATGTATCTCGGCTGCTACATTCAAAACTCAAATTAGTTTCTGTTTAGGAAAAAAAAAAAAAAAAAAAAAAAAAAAAAAAAAATTCACGACTACCAAGCACGACGCGTAAAAGTTTTTGTTATTAATATATTTTCCCTGCACTGTTAAAAGTACGATGTAGAGGGACAATATTCTTTAAAATCTTTTTAAAATCTTTTTCATCTAGCTGCAAGTGCTACGCTTACCTGTATAACTTCCATAACAGGGAGAAGGGGTCGTCCTTTATAAGGCGTTGAGCATCGTAACTCCTCCCTGTCTGCCACACGACTTACTAAAGCATCGAACGTCGGGTTCACGAGCCAAGCCGATGTATCATCGCATCTCCAATGATTTCCTTTTTACATTCATCAAACGTTATACATATGCATGGAAAACAATAATTTTTCTACATTATTTCTATTTAAATATGAAGCTAGTCGAAATAAAATAACAATAACAATAGCCATAATTTTAATTGTATTATATATAAAAAAAAAAAAAAAAAAAAAAAAAAACATCTATTAATATTTAATTGTAAATGAAAATTAAATAACTAGAACATTATTTAACAATTACATTGCCCATTGAATAACATTTACATTGCCCTTGGAGAGATATCGATTGTGATAAACGAACTTTTGTTGATAACAAAGCAATGTCTTTCTTTCAATAAATGCTATTTTGTTATAATTAATTGTATTTAAAATTCATAAAAATTTTTCAAAAATTTAATTATATTTCATGCGTATACTTAGCAAAACAATCACTTTGCCCTTACTTACATTATTTGCATGAGCAGAGAGTCAGTTGTACTCGTATTTCTAATATAAAATTCTTCGGTCCCATATGATTTTAGAACTTACAATATGGCAGGGACATTTTTTTATTATTACGTAATAAATCTACTTTAAAGTTATATAATAGATTTTCCTTTATAAGCAAAGAGTAATATTTTCGAGTAATATTGTTCGGCATAATTAAAAATTAATACACTAAAAATATAAGCACCGAATGGAATCTTACTTCCTAGAAAATGTTAGTAATTTTATACCATAAACTTAAATAAAAATCCTTTATTTAAGCTTTTAAATTTATAAGGTAAAATATTCATAGATTATTTTAATAGTTAATTCCACCAATACATTAACATTTTTAAAGCTTTATACTTTCAAGGATAAGCTAAAGCTTCTTTTAATACTGTCTCTAAATTTCAGTAGCTACTATCTTCTTATGGGTTAATAAACAAGAAATAAAACGAACTTAGTAATGGACACATTAAGTAACAAATAAATAAATTTAAAACTATTTTAAAATCGTCAAGTTTGATGTAAAATAAGCAAAGAAAGTGAATTCTGTTCGGTATACTTAGATTGATTTTTTCCGAGTATTCTTTACTAATTTGAGAAATAAGTTTTTTAATAAAAGTTTCTTAACACTATACATGGTTGAAGAGACTGGTATTAGTAAGGGAATGAAAGAAGAAGAAAAAAAACGATACTTAAAATGATATAAACCCCATAAAAAATGCAGTTAGGTATCCAAGTCATATGCATGTAAAGTCATATGGTTATCTACTTTTTTTTTTTTTTTTTTTTTTTTTTTTTTTTTTTCGAGAAAACGTAAATTCCTAAGATATTTCCATCAAATTTTCTATATTAATATAAATTACTACTATTAAATTTTTATATGATTTATTGAATTATTTATTTTTAATAATAGCAATAATAATATCGTCGATAATGATTAAACATAATTAAAAAGAAATTACTTACATAATATTAGAAAATGTTCTTCACATCAATTTAGGTGTGGCAGAAAGAAAGTTTATGATTTATCTTCAGTACCCGATGGACGTGCACTTGATAAGTTCTTTCTTTCTAAAGCTTTTAAAGAAAAGGTTCGCGCTACAAGGCTTTATAACTCGTATTCCCATACGTGCTAACGTATAATTGTATATTTTCAAGGACGAGGGCAAACATCAGTATAAAAATAGAATTAAAAAAATTGTTAGGTTCATTAGGCCACGTAATCGTGCGTCATCATTTTTTATGATATTAAAGATAAACCACTAAAGATATCATTTAGATGCAATATTTCATAATATGCGCCTATGTAAAATAATATTTGTTCTAATATAATTCAATTTGATCCTTATATATTTTTATTATTTCATCAATTCTAATCGATATCCTTTAAAGTAATCTCGGCTTGCTATTAGAGGGCGCAGCTTTAAATATAAAAGAGAGCTATAAATGTATCCGTAAGTGCTTACGAACACCCGCAGGACGATAAATATATACGTAATAATCCTAAACAAATAACTTAAGTAATATTGTAAATTAATCGGACCACTGATAAATTAATGCAGAATACTTGAAATATGAAATGATTATAGAAATAATATGTATTCTTAGGTAAGCGCGTATTTGTTTATGATTCAAATTCAAAATCTTAAATCATAAAAAATAATTCATCGTCATGGGAAAAGAATATAATAATTGTTTTTCTAGCATCGAATCAATAGACAATTATAAAAGCTTTTTCTATTAAATTTTTCATACGGTGTGCACAATTTCATTAATTTACGATGAATTTTTTTTAACTTACGTAGCTTAATCCTCCTTGCTCTCGAGGTTCAATTACAATTATAATCGCGATTATTCCCTTATCTTTATGAATCAATAGCTTATCACGGAAATGCCATACGAATACGAATAGGAATAAATAATAAAAATATAGAACAATCGTTGTGTATTAGTTAGATTTTTTGTTAAAATTTTTAATATAAATTATAGATTTTGTGAAATAATATCTACGAATATATTCTGCAGCAAATTGAGAATAGTCATTTTATCAAACTCGTCTTCCGTCAATTTCAATTTATTCAAAATAGTGTAAATCCATTATCGATATTTCATTCATCTTTATGAAGGTATTTCACGAAAGTATACCGTAGACTTTCAATGTTTATTAAAAATATTACAAAATGCTCTGAATTTCAATACTACTTGTATTCAATAATAGCGTATATATATATGACATTATATTATATTTGTAGGAAGCACGAGCAATTACATTAAATGAATTTTCGAAAACTATTTTATGTAGATATTCTATATTAATAAATTGGTGGTTATTGAAAAGGTTATGCGTTATACAAAATGAAAAGCGGCATAAAAGACTGTATATAATGGAATATCGGTGAAAGGTTAATCCAACGATAAGCCAATTAATTATTCATACCTGCTAAGTAGATATTACTCAATGTTGGAATACCAATTAAGTCCGTAGGGTCAATGTGAACGAGTGCATTATTTTTTAAGTTTAGTGCTCGCAAAGCGGGTAAACTGCTGAATGTTCGACTTGGCATCGTTCGTAGATCTGTGCCTGTGATCTCGACTGTCTGTAGCATACAGTAACGTGTCATTGTTAATTTCATTCAATTTATAAGCAAATATTGTGTTTATAGTAAGTTCAATGCAGTTACTTTATCTAATATTTCGCCTCTTTCATAGGTTTGGCAACTTTGTCATAGGCAACTTTGTCCTTAAATTTTATTATTATCATGAAGATTATCATTAATGATAGAATCTTCGATTCAATTAATAACTCGTAAAAAAATATATATATATATATATATATATATAAGTAAACGTATCTTATTAAAACAGTTTAATAAAATTCGTTTAATTAGGTAATACCATGAATTTCAATTTAATTATCCTTAAACTCTCCATTCGCTTATTTGAGTCTTGGACAAATAATCGCAATAAAGAAAGTTGATAAAAACTTATTTCTCATTGTCGAAATACATTGGCAACCAATTAATATAAAAATACTAGCGAGTGAAAATTAAGAGCTGCGTTAGTCAAACCTTAGCCCAAGTCTTTTCGTAATATACTAATACGTGAAAGTCGTAAAAAGCTTATCATATATTAACGGATCCTATAAATATAGTACGCACTATAATATTAGTTATGATTTTTTTTTTATTAAAGAACTCAATTTGCATAATATTTCAATTTCCGCCATATAAAATTTATAATCTTGAATTACTGATTATCCTTGGTTTTGTTAAAATATTAAAATCACTCGTTATGCCAAAAGCCATCTCTAAGTGATTCGAATTATTTTCTTTATTACAATTTAATATATATAATTTATATTAAATACAATGATTTATCACAAATAATTATGATGGTTCCGAAATCGAAATTTTTCATAACTTTAGCGATATTTGCACATTTAAATTTCGAATTATAATAAAACAAATTTTATCTAAAATTTAAATAATATACCTATTAATTATTCAGCATTGGCTGAGCTTGACGAGGCGAATGGAAAAGTCAACTAAATGATAACGCGATAAGATGAATTTTTTTCTCTATTACTTTCATTATATATCGCATAAATCATTCGCTAAATGTATAATATTATAATATAATATAAATAGAAATCGTAATTTTAGCATGAAACAATTGATATTTAAAGACTTTCTTTGAGCGCGATTAATTCATAGCATACGGTAGAGCAACATTTAATCATTGAAAATTCATATAACAATATTCTCGTTTTGACATGCATACACAAGGGTGACTTCATTGTGCTGTCATCGCGCCATTATGTTGTGACGCAGAAGGATGTGAATTGCTCGCTATAGTACGCGGCCCACCATCACACGAACACACGAATAATAAATAGTAATTCAATTTACACACAATCAAAATCAATTGCCTATCAATTAAGTGATAATGTACATTATGCCCATATAATCTCATGTAAACATAAGAATGATATATTTAAAAAGTTATTCACTGTTATTTAACGGGAGATTATTTTTTTACGAGCACTCCTTTGGAAGCAATTTTTGCTCGATAGGGTGATGCAATTTACGATCGCTAAAATTAAATAATACAAAATGCCTAAGGATAATGTAATTCGCTGCGAACTAAGGAAAATACAATGTAGCAATACGTTTGCTGATGTTAATAAAAATAATTTCACAGCTCTGTTTGTAATTCTTGGATTCGTCATTTTAATTCGGTAAACCATTGCTATCCGCGGCCAATGGGCAAATAATTAAAATTTAAGCAACATAAGGAAGTATTTACACGGATTGATTGAATAAATTCTAGGCTTAAAATTCTATTAATTAATAATGAAGTTAAGCTTTTGCTTTAGGCTAAGTAATAATATCTTGGTTCAAACGAAAATTACCTCAAGGAAGCGAGCTTTTGAAGGAAACGGCGTGACTATCTTACTAAGATTGCCATTATCAATGGTAAAGCGTCGTAGGTAAGGATGATCCGAGAAAATTTCCTCGGCATCCAAGGTCTCCTCTTGCCAATTACGAATAGTCAAGGCAGCCACGGATTCAAAACTGCAAATACATTTATCATGTTAGTAGGATCGGAAGTAATTAACACTCGTATATATTAATAAAATTCTCGAATAATAAAATTAAGAAAATTTATTGCATGCGTTCGACGTGATTCGGAAAAGAAATGGTCATTAACCATTAGCATTGATCGTCATTTACACGCTAATAAAGTCTTTTACGACGACAATTTGAATTATATTATTAAGTCTTTTTTACTAAGTCAATTTTAAAACTAACGAGTAACGATTACACATTTAAAAATTTTATCCCTCGTATAAGATATTTTATTATACTAATTATTATATTATCAAATACAATTAAAAAAATTTCAACAACAACAACAACAACAACGGCAACGACTATAACAACGAAGAAAAAAAATTTTTTTAATAAACGAAATATATAAATAATTTACATAATGGAAGATATTCTAGATTAAATATTAATTATTCGAAGGCGTTTTAAATAAACTCGTATAAAGCAGACAATTCATGATGAAGTTAAGGTTTCTGGTAAAGTTTTTGTTTAAAGAAATTTATAATTAAAATTTACTTTAAAATACAATTGATTGTAAGTAGTTTTTTTTATCAAAGAATGTGATATAAGCATATGCACGTATACTAATTACATTACCGACTAGAATTCCAAAGAATTGGTGGCTTATGCGAGCAAATTAATTCTCGGGCCCTTCTCTCATAGGATGAAAGAATCGTCAAAATTCTACATCGATTTGCATTACCATCCACTTCATAGGAGCCTCCAAACCTTTTCGGGAGCAATCTGAAAGGTCAACATCGATTATTCCGTTTGGTACTCGTCTATCGTCGTCATAGATAAATTTAATCTATGTCGCTTCATTATTGAGAGATCTAATTTTTTTTTTTTTTTCATGCTATATATTTTAACGTACTCGACTGTGTGCCAGTCAAAATGGATATTTTAATTCCATCCTAACTTGGATAAACACTGTGTAAACATCGCTTATGGATTATTAAGATATGCAACAAATAAAATAAATATTGTTATTTTACTTATTACATGTAGCGTAGTTTTTTCTGTAACATATTTTAATCCAATCACATAAGGTTATATTAAATTCTTAGAATTTCACAACTTACTTATTGTAAATTTAAATCGACTGATCTGTGTGTGTGTGTGTGTGTGGGTGTTTGTTTGTTTGTTTGCACGCGTATTACATCAATACCGTTGAAAATGTATGTTTCACAATTTAACACAATTAATAATCATAATATAATGATAATTTTCAAAAAAATTAATCCCACCTTGTTTTAATATATTATTAAATACATAAACTGATTAAATACACATTTTATTATTTCAAAATAAACGTACGTGTAATTATTTAAAAAATTTGTTATGCATTGATTACTGTATTTCATCTCATTCCAATAAATCATTATGTCTAAATCCATGGAATCTTTAATTATGAACCACATATGTATTAAGAAAAATAAGTCTTTTTTAATTATTATATATATATATATATATATATATATATATATATATATATATATATATATATATATATATATGGGTATAATGTTATTAAATTCTTGCAATTTAAGACGTTCATATAATATAACATTTCTATAATGTAAGGAAAATTCTCGAATTTGTACGCATTCTCAAATTTTTTTAAATACTTCAAAAAATACGAAGTCAATGAAAAAGAGTAAATATAATATTATTAGAATATTTAAAAGGTTAAACATAAACTAATCTTTATTATTTATATGTTTGTGTGGTTTTTTAAAACTTTTTTTTTCTACAATTATAAAACAAGTGCTAAATTCAAATAATAAACAAATTTATTATTAATATTTTTAAATCAAATAGAAATCCTTCCTAAGATGATGATACAGTTGACTTCATCATAAAATACACTGATAAATTCAAGTGGATTATACAGAATAATTTTAAACATTTTGATTAAGAGTTTTAATAATTATATGCTTTAATAACTATTTGGCTAATGATAAATTATCAAAAAATATAATTCATAAATAAAACTAAAAAAGACAAATATTAAAAATTACAAAATAATGAAGAGTACCTTCATTCAATAAAAAACCAATGTTTTGAATAACTTCAATAATTATGCTAATAATGACGTTCCAATAAAGCTTGTCGAAGCTTTTAATATTAAAATATTAATATTACGCTCAATCTAAGAGGAATTGTAGTAATATCTACATGAGTAAATCGATGATACGTAAGAGAAGAGCAAAGTAAATGTATATTTGTATTTACTGATAAAAAAAAGTCTTACGTTTACTGAAAAAAAAAAATTTTACGGAGTTGGAAAAAAAAAAAAAAAAAAAAAAAAAAAAGATGATAATATCATTCAATAATCTTTGATATGTTAAATATATGATGTATGAGTAACAAAAGAAGTTTCCTTTAAAACTTTAAAAATAAATAGTTCTATTGAAATAATTTTATTTTGTCACATACTCATATTATAAATATTTTTATACTTACTATTCTATTTTTACATCATAAAAACTTAAACATTATATATTTATCTCAATCATATGATAATTTATTATTCTATTCATTACTTTTTGACATATTGCATAAAAAATTACATACACAAAATTCTATTCATATCTGAATTATTATGTATTTATCAAATTACTGATAGATAAACAAAATATTTATGCCAATACACATAGAATAAATACACAAATGTTTTCACGTATATTGATTATATATATATTGCTATTTAAAAAAAATATCCTTAATGTTGAATTAAAATTTGAATTTGCTTACACAGCTTTTTAAATATCAAATTGACCAAACAATATTATCATGAAGCTTAGTATTAATAAAATTTTGATCGTTTTGTTCTCATTAGTTATCATCATTTTCCCACACATAATATTTCTGCAAATAAACGTCAATATAATACGGTGATGCAACATATTACTGTTAAGCTTATTAATGTGCTTATTATGAATGTATAAATCTTTAAAAGGAAATGCAAAATCTCGTATTTACATAGGATACATACGACAATCCGTGACTTGACAAAAGGGACATTTTTCATAATCAGAGTAAAGTTTACAATACTAAAATTTCTTATCTATCACAACATAAAAAACATACATTTCACAAATATTATTCACAATTTCGTTTTTCATGCCGCTCGCGTCAGCTTATCGTTCCTTATCGTACGAGTAAGCATCGAAAATGCGGCAAAACTTTAGTATCTAATGTATTCGGAAGCAAACGCTACTACTACCTACACTTAGCATTTTAATTGTCACAATGATCAACATCGATGAATATTATCTCACGATAATGGCATTTTCCACGTGGAGAAGCAAATTATTGAAATGAAGCCGAAATCGTAAGAATAAGCGATCGAGCAGCTCCGAGTTGGGTGATTGTCAATCGACACTTACGTTATGAGTGCGAGCATCGAATAAAGCCCGAGGCGCGTCATGATCGAGAGAATATTCACGGATAAAGTCTTCACGATAAAATCTTGCTCTGTAGCGGACGTTCGTCACATACTGAAAGTGAAAAACGCCGGTCGCAGCGACCCGCGCCTCCTACCGCTAAACGCTAAAGCAAACTTTACTTTTGTATGAACGACCGTAGCGGCTGATACGCACTCGACACATACACAGGTGCGAAGAAGATAGATACTTGTGACTGCGTAGTTCGCTAACCTGCATGTGACCGTCGCGCGATCATTAGCATCGTTAAAATCGACATCCTACTCTCGTGTACTTGTACCTCGGGCTTTTAAGTCCTGCACTTAGCTGTGACACCCAACCATCTTTACCATTTTCTCCTCCATCTTTCAATTAATTCATGACTTTACGGATTTTTGCCATGAATCCGTGCTCGGTAGCTATAGCATTTAATTGGGCTTTTACGATGATAAGAAGCCATTGCAAATTCATAAATGAACTTAGCTTTTATTCTATCTCCTCGTCTTATAAGCTTCGCGTTAGCCGATTTATATTTTTATACCGGAGTAGTCGGAGCTCCATTGCTAGACGTAATAATTAGCAGGCAATGTGTTTTGCATTTTTTTTCTCTCTAATTTTTCTTTATTTTTTGCTTTATTTTTGTTAACTCGTCCCGTGGAAAGGAGCTTTTACAATAACAATCGGTCCTTCTTTCTTCATTTATCTATTTATATCAACGGTTTAACGATAGCCGACTTGGATTGGCCGTTGATAAGTTTTATACTAATTAACATAAGAAATTAATACTCTTTACATCCGAGACATCCGTATAATTTATTAATATTATCATAAATAAATAGGCATTCGTTGATGCCTTGACATTATAGGCTTTCTTATTGCTGATTATTACAAGAATTGAATTAAATAAATTCTTTCTTTTTTTTTTTTTTTTTTTCATCTTCAATAATCTTTGATAAATTTAAACGATTGGCTGAATAATAGAAATTAGCTAATTTAATGAACTCTTTCATTAAACGAAATTTACGGGAGCTCGTTTTTTTCTTCAAACGATTTTTCTACCAATTTAACTCACGTATATTTAATGAATTGCATCCTTGAGTAAGTATAAATAAAACTTTTTCTTATTAAAACGGGTTAATTAAGTTAATAGGATGGTAATATGGTAAAAAAAAATACTGTTAAGACGAAATATTTAAGGTGAAAACTTGAGGAGAATCGTAGTTATTTATGCAGATCTACACGAACAGCTAGAATATCTTATATTTTCTTATTACTATTTATTAGCAGTATAAGTAACTAACTATATATGTTTAATTGTCATGCAAGATATTTATTAATTTTAAGCAACGTCAAAAATTCTGCAAAATGTATTAAATGAAATTTCGTTCACTTATTACATTATTGCAAAACGCTAATTTGGCCGTTTGTTTTTATAATTTAGAACTGCGTGCTTAACATACTAGTTTTTCAAAGTATCACTAATTGCAAAAAAATTGCCTTCGTTTGTATAAAAGGAGAAAATAGGATATATTTAAGCAAATGAGCCTAGTGAGCAAAGTCGAATGTATGTTTTCATACATTAGTTTGAAACAACTAAATATTCTGCACACCTCATTGACAAATTGAAATCAAAAGGAAATACAAATAGTGTCGGTAAAAACATGAATAAGCACACGTGCACATAATGAAAAGGTTAAACGAAGTGGCGCTTTCGAAAAAGCGATTCCGGCAGAGTAAAGCATAGATACATAAGGACGAGGGAGCCAGAGGCGGATAGGGGATGAGTTTGAGTGAGACGGAAGGAGAAGAGATAGGAGAAAGTCATTACAGTGAAGTAATTCGCTTGTATGCAGGTGCATCTACGCTCATAGCCAAGGATCGAATGCACCAGGTTCGTATTACAGGATATCTCCATGCTAAAGATCAATTACACGAGCTACTCTACATACCGTCGGCTTTTCCTGCAGCTACTGGAGTCCAGTGCGCGATAATTACCTCGATCGTCGACGCTTTCAGCTTCTCCAATCAAATGCCGACAGAACAATTCTCATAAATCCAACCTTTCTCTTGCAATAAAAACGAAAACAAAAAAAAAAAAAAAAAAAAAAAAAAAAAAAGAAGGTCCTGGATGCACTAGAATTTTCATTTTCCACCCTTAATTTATGGCTTATAAACTTCACGGCTGCTAAATACAGTTGTTATGACGTAATTTACTTCACTCGTATTTTACATCAGCACTGGGACACTTTATATGATATTTTTGTTGAAACTCGCAAACTACGTGCACAATATGAATAGATTGTCAGGATTAATGATTGTATTTTAAGTGTGATGAAAAATTATAAGCAACGCTATCGTATTTCGTAATTTCATTTGTCAGCTTTAAATTTTACT